TAAGGCAGGAGAGGTGGTCACAGTTGATTGGAAGATGGAAGTTGTCCTCAGACTATGATACAGATCCTAAATGTTGGTCACAGCGGAATTTAAATTTATGTCAGGTTTATCAAACTCTGGTCTTCTTCTGCAATGTTATAAATTGTCTCTTCTTAATAACACAACCACATTTTAATGATCTACTTTATTGTATTCTATTTATCTATTACATTCAGTAGTGGCACCCTAGATTGAAAACCTGCACATTAGTGTTTTAGAGCAGTCCAGTCAAAGTCCAGACCAAAATCAAATTTAGAATATGGGACGAGACCTGATGTTATTTAAGTCTAATAAAGCTAAGGAGGATATTTTTGTTTCTGTATGTGTAAAGTTTATAAAGATACCCTGAAACACTTGGAGCTGTACATGCAACCAATGATGAGTCTACAAAATAGGCACTGAATTCAAAACTTTTTAAATTACAAACTAATTCAGCTTTATCATTTTTCAGTCATTTTAAGTTCTATAAAAGATAATGTAATACATTTTTTTGTCATGTTCCAGGAGAAAACACTAAAACTTCAAGGGGCATGAACATGTTTCCAAGGAGCTGTAGACCACGTGATCAAAGATTGATTTTTCTTAAAGAAAAACAAAATCCTGTTGAGAGGCTTTTTAATCTGGGGGTTATTGAACAATGGTTTTTTATTACAGCTAAAACTATCTGCCATCTGCAGCCATCCTTTTATCCCCACAAAGGTGTTCATTTCGATGGTTTCACAAACCACGTGTTGCCTGCTAAACTGCCCTACAGTTTGCTTCACTACAAGCCTTAAAAGCCCCAACTAGCACCATTTTATTTTCCACCTTTCAGCGTGGGGCTGCTGGTCTTTCTCTGAAAGAAAAAGAAACTGCTGCAGTTTATCTGTGCTGTGCAGTTAGAAGGACTCAGACCCTTTTCAGCTGAGTGACATATTGCTTCTTTTGTTAGAAGGGATTTACAGGCACGGGAGTTTGTAATTTGTTTTGGAGAAGGTTTGTCTTTCTTATTTTTTTCCCTCCATGTATCCATGTATGTTCTACTTCTGCCTCTTACTGTTGAACAAAGGAAAATAATCATTGTTGAAAAGATTGAATCTATGTTAAAAGTATTTATATATTTTTTTCTTCCTTAGCCTTTGTCAGTTCAATAAAAAATAAAAACAAATGACATTGCAACATACAGCAATATGAGCACCATTGAAAAATGCATTCTAACTGGATAAACTTCTGCATTTTTACATCTGTAACAATGAATGCAGGATAATTTTCTAAGTATTAAACATCATATTAATGCAAACATGATTGCAGAAGTAAACATACATGCTTTATAGATCAGAAATCAGACTCTTTCGCTCTGGTATGTGTATGTTAGGCATCAAAAGCCTGCAGCAAAACAAACTCCAAAAGGCTTAAATAAAAGCAGACATCAGAGTGAAAGTTTGTTGGATCAAAATCAAGCAATCAGCAGTCCCATTTCATTTATGTAAATTACAGCCACTATTTTCTGAAAGCACACACAAAAAGGAGATCAACAGTGAAGTAAAACTATCCCTTATTGTTAAACAATAAGGGAACTAAATATCTTTTCTTATTTTGGGAGGCATCTGCAGCTTAAAATCAAGATATAATTTTTCCCCCTGACATGACTTTCAAATGAATATGGTACCAGCACAGCCTCAGATAGCTCCATCTAAGAACAGCTCCATCTAGAGTTGAGATAACAACATAACTACTATCTAAAGTGTCAGGCAAAGTCTCTGACCATATCTAAAGATCTACATTTAGTGATATTTGTTTAATCTTATTGGGGTTTGATTTAAAGGGGTACCCATAAGTGAACACGTGCTAAATCACATCCCTCCTCCGTCCTTAAAGGTTGTCACAAGTTATTCATGTTGCAACTTTTAGAGCAACATCAAAGCAGTAGTAAAGAGAAAGCACACCCACTTTAGAGAGAAAACTCCATCCTGTGAGTAGGCCATACGTGGGGCTTTTCTGGCCTCTGAGTGTTTCACTGTGCCTCCGAAATACCTGTGCTTCAAGAGGGCTGTCCTAGAAAAAAGTGCGGAGGCATGAGGTCCTGCAGGTTCAGTAGTGATTCCTCGAACTGTTTCTTTTATCATACTGTTTTATATGGGCATTTGTTTATATAACTATGCCCACAGCGGCCCACGCCTCCTTTGCAAATAAGCACAGGCACAAACTATGAGGCCTTATAAGGTTTGTATACATATCAGCACCAGAACGACAGTGCATTTGTGTAATAATTACTCCCACATTAGCTGCATGCATGAGCACAAGTCAATACGGTTATATTCATTGGTGATTAGGAGCTCTTGTCTGCAGCTGGAGGTTAAACAACATTATGTAAGGTCAGTTTAGCAGTAAACAGTAAACAAGCACTCCTTCTGTGTGCTTTTGTAGTTACTCTGTGACAGCACAGTGTTTTTACACTGGAATTACCACTGTGTGTTTTCTGTCACTTTAGACCAACAGTCCATCATTACAGGTCATTATTTCTCCTGGTCTCTGTGTGGCTGCCGGAACCTGCAGAACATTTGGTCAAACTATTCACAGCTTCTAACATGCTGGTTGTTTAATTGATTACTGGGTTACACAGCAAGTAGTAATTGGTTAAAAAGTGCTGTATAAAACAGGGAAAGCACAAGGAGTGCTGTGCAGGGCAAGATTAACTTAAAATAGCTTTCCACAGGGGCTATTACAAACCTTTAAATGTCTCTAAAAATATCTATATTTAAAAGGTTGTTTATCATATTCTTGCATGCTGACTAAATTAGTGTAATGTGATGGAGTATTTTGTCAAATCCATGATAAAAAGTAAAAAGATGCTGGTAGTGAACATGTTAAATAATAGCTAAGAAAATTTGAAAAAATGTTGATGTCCCCGCACTACATGGTTTTCCATCAAATAAAGATTTTGTTGACTGTTTGGTTAAAAAAGCATTTAACAGGAATCTGGTATAAACCTTTGTTTTTAGAATTAAATCATGAGAAGTAAAAAGAGTCTCTTTAGAGTCTCTTTAGAGTTACTAAAGAGACTTTTTTGAGACTTTTTTTGACAATAAACTTTTTTGTAGGTTTTGATGGGTTACACACATCTACCAAATTTTATAATTCTCAGTCAAAGCATGGTATGGGGCGTACCTTTTGCTCAATGACAAAAAGTCTTGTTTTGGCACAATGCCTTGCCCACATGTTTTGATTAAAAAATGTAGTCTGATAACTTCTAACGACTGAATTACTACAAGACACTGGATCAAACTCTCCCACTGATTTATTGTGGATCAAAAAGGAAATTACATGTTTTTCATGTGTAGTTTTAAAGTAGCATATATGATGATTTCCCCATAAAAGTGACTCCTCACTCCTACATTTTTTGAGTAAACTGTTGACAAAAGGACAGGATTTATAATCACTGCTTTATTGCTGTCCATGTTTTACACTCCCTGACTCATGCATGCTTCTTGGCTTGGACTGACTTTTTTTTTTTTTTTTCTCATTATAATTTCAATTTCACACGTGGAGCTTGAGCTAGAGGAATGAAGCCAACATTACACAGGCAGACACCCACGTCAGGTTATCCCTTTCACACTTCGAGAACTACCCAGATCCGCCCACCATACCGGGGAGAGAGAGAGAGAGAGACCAGAAAGGCAACAAGGGAGGAGTGCTTGTTCCTGTGTGCACAAGCCTTGGTGTGTGTGTAAGTGTGTGTTTTAGGAAGGAAAAAACGAGTGTGGGCCAGACAGGCTTGCATCAAATCATGGTCTGCAAGGTTTTGACTGCCAATAATAAAATAAATTACATCATGTCATGTCTTGTCATGTAAATATACATATATATATATAATTATTTTAAAAACTGAAATAAAAATTGTATAAAAGTGCTAGTAATTAATAGATTAGTCCAAATGAAACTAATAAAGATGCAATTCTTGTGATGTTTGTAAATAATTGAAGCATTACTACAATATTTTGATTATTTTACATAATTAATTATTACATTTTATGTACTTATGTTTATTTAGATATTATTAAACTATATTTTCTATTTTTTTTTTTTTGCGTGACACTTCTACATATGCAAAGTATTTACAAAAATTATTAAGTTAGAATTATCAAATAAATTAGTAATACTTTTTTATCAATAGTTTGGCATTTATACAACAGTTACAGTGCATAAACAAACTGAGAATCCATCTTTTAATTGATAGATTTACACAAAAGTTTAATTTTGTATATATTTGATATCAAATGCATGCGTATTTATTGCATTTTTAATTGATTAATAAATATCTCTGTTTATTGGACTGTAGCACTTTCAACTGAAGCTCGCCTCAACTTTTAATTGGTTGACGTATCTCTCTAGGTATGTTCTGGATGAACAGAAACATGATGAGTGTGTATTGGCATTTCCACGTCTCTAATGAGGGTATACAACTTTAATGTCAAAAGATCATGAATGTATGTTTTTGAACTCTAAAACACAAACATATCATATATCTTCGCGCAAATGTTTATGATGACATTCAGATATGTCGCATTGCCTTTCATCTGTAAAACAATTGATCTCTCCTCATTGCGTCCCCTGCTGCCTGCACACCTATTCCGATGAACCTCTTTCCGGTACCTTTGGCTGTGCGTTCATATCTGCGTAGTTTGCTCTTCATTATCGTTTGTCTCCCTGCAGAGATCCCTCCTCCCTCCCTCTCTAGGTTCAGCTCCCTCCCTCCTCCTTGCGCTGACACACTCCCTCTCTCACACTTCCACGCGCACGCGTGCGCACGCGCTCGCACACATAGCCGCGTCTCCTCCGCATACTGGCCACACACTGCCCTCCCCCCTCCCCTCCCTCTGCTGTGATGCTGTCTCATTCAGCTCGCTACTCCATCCACGCACTGACTCCAATTTCAAGCCATGGGAGGGGCGGGGTGGGATATATAGCTCCGAGTGGAGGCCACAAGCTACACTGAGACTGGACCCACTTGCAGTGCAAAGACCACAAGCAAGAAGACTCCGAAGCCGGGAGTAGAAGTACCAACATTTTTTATTCTGGAGCTTAGAGAGAAACAAAGACAAACGAGAACGGACTTTCTGCTGGAGCTCCGACGAAAACCAATTTGTCCCTTCGCTATACGCCGTTTCCTTTCCTGTGAATAGGCTATAGCAACTAAACAAAGTTGGTAGTAAACTCTTTGGAGTTTGGTTAGAGTCGCTTTAAAATTTCTTTGCTTGTGAGAGTGGACTGCACTGAAACTTGGGATCGATCCCCGCTCTGGGGTTCGAGGGGTTTGTACCTGGCGCATCCTTTCGGCGGTCTTCAAACAACTGCGAAAGTTTTTGGCCAGGAACGCAGATCTGAAGTCTTTGAGGTCTAGTCAGACTTTTTTTTTCCCGAGAGACGAACTCAGCAGCTGCTACCAGATCCGATCCAAGACGCCTGGACCGGAGCGGTTAGAGAGCCGCTGAAAAGGCTTCAAAGAAGAGTTTTCGAGGTAAGAAACAAGTGGAAAATGGATGTGTCTGAATGTGATTTGTTCCTGGTGAAGTTCTGATGGGAGAATGTGTGATGACAATCTGCTGCAGATGAGTTTAAAACTTCTGTGTCGCTGTCCGTGGTCCTGAAACTGGGAAACTGTCTATTCCGCTTATGTTGAATGTGCAAGCTTTTGTATTCATCTATGTTACAAATAGTTTAAAATAGTTTAAAACTTATACCGAGACTATATGAGCATTGGGATTGTCTTTGTGTAGACAAGGGTGGATGGAGAAAGTTATACCGAGACAATAGGCTGCTTCATAGAACTTTCTAGTTTGCCTTTAATGCTTGAATTATTCTGAAAGATTTATGTGTGGCTGCAAAAGGCTGATACGGATTATTGATAATGCAACAATACTACTTCTGCAGCTTAAAGGAATAGCCTTATGAGTAATCTGGATTGTTAATTTATTTAGCTCCATTCATATCAATGCAACAAAGCAGTTTAGGTACAGAAGTCTGCTTCAAACATACAAGTCGATGTTCTGTCTGCTATACGCAATGATTTATTTGCCTTTGTTGAAAATGTTTTATGTCCTGTAAAGTCTGGTGCACATTTACCTGCAACTGCCAGAACAAAGAAGAAATTTAGTTTTTATAAGTTAGAACTTATTAAGGTGTGCAAGTCTGTAAATTTTCTATCTCCAAAAGAAGTTGAGCTTTATCCAGACATTGTTATTCTTTCTGCAATATTCTATCAAATCACATCAAATGAACAATCAATACAGAAAGTAAGACACATTGACACTTAAAGCAGAATTCTAGAAAATAACTTATATCGACTTTGAAGGTATATTGATAGTTTGACTAGGAGAAATCAGGCTGAAATGTTTCACCTGTTATTTCACTGCTTTCTGGCTCTCCAAGCTTACAGACTTCTGTTTACCAGTTTATCTCTGACAGCAAATATGACAGATCCAAGCAAGTGCCTGGACATTCTTTATTCTTATAAAGTCATTTATCCTTTTAGCTATCCATTCCAACTTCTAAAACATGCCCATGTCAGGATGAACAGAAAGAATTTCACAGATGGCAAATGTGGAGGTTTTTCACACTATCCTGCACAAAATAAGCTGTCTCCATAACAACAAACTCCCTGTTTTTTTTAAACAGCCAGTTATGCACAAAATTTGTTGTTGACGACAGCAAATGGACAAGCAATAGAAAGGGGCAGATAGGTTTAGGGAGGGTGAAAATAGTTGGGGAGGGGAGGGAGAGTTCTCCCGCCACAGCTGGACTTTTCTTTTCAAACTCGTTCTCATCAGATGCCCATTCATGGTGCTTCCGTTGTTCAAAAGGGCGGGGGGAGAGAAAGAGGCTGACACAAGACAGAGGTCTCTGCTGCATCGCTCACAGAAATTAGACAAACAGAGAAGGGGTGAGGAGGGAGAGAGGCATCGATGGTGGGAGAGATGTGATCGTTGTAATTATGAGTACTTCACTTGAGAAGTGCAGGTGCTTCTCACAGTCATTACATTTGCTTTTGTTGTGCTGATGTTACATTGCCTTCATCTATATGATGAGCCCCACATTTAAATACAGGTTTCTGCTACAGACTTAGAATTACATATTAATTTGTCATTAATAATACAATTTCTGATGCATGATATGCAGAAAATATATCATAATGAAAATGACGAACTAAATTATTAAGTCTTAACTGGTAAACATGATAAAGCACAAAACCAGCTCCAACTGCATGTAAAACGTGTTGCTGAGCAACAGCTTTTGTGAGCTATCTTTCTTTTATCCTGCTTTACTTTAGTAATGCTGCGATTTAGAAATTGACCCTGCAGAGCAACTGTGTGCACACATTCATTCTGCAAGATGACAGAAAATGCATGCATTAAACATGTTTTCTTTAAATGCATTCACCATTTTGTACATAACATATGTTAAATAACATCATTTCACTTAATGCTCTGCAAAGTAATGCTGGAAACATTGCTGGTGCACTTTGTGAGATGCCTGTGCAGGGTATTTTACCACCCCTCACCATGGCTGCAGAACATTTTTTTTGCCTGTTTACCACTTATCAAAGGGAGTGAATTTCACAAATAACGGCAGAACTAAGCGTCTGCAGTCGCCAGTGGCGAAGCGTGTATGGACGTCAGACTGACGCACACAGTTAGGTGTGTGGGAGGAAAGAGCAAGAGCTTGGAGATACCAGCTTGCTGTGAAGGACTGTAATTGCTCTGCCACAGCAATTCTTTTCCAAAGAACAGGGCATTTCAGATCATTCAGCGTAGCCTGAAACACTGCGATACAGATCAGACAACAACTCCTGCTGCATAAATATCAGCTTAACAATAGGTTTAATTAAAATGCATTGTATTCTGCAATGCATACTAATAGCTTTCAATCAGAAAGTACACTAACCAAGTTTTCTATGTTTTTTTTCAACAGATCCCTTTCTGAGATAACAAATAGTCTGATGCATTAAAACAAACTAATCTTCAGAGGGGTTTGCGAAGACAATCAAGAGATCTGTATCAAGTGCAGTAACTTGCAACAAAGAAATCCAAGAAACAACAAAGTTAAAACGCAGATTTCACCAACATCATCCTCAACTTAAGCCGACCCAATGGCGTGGTCAGCTCTTACCGGCCCTTGTCTGGCCCTTATCCTGCTTTTCGGTTTGACCTGCTGCACTCCCTCAGGACCGGCCTCTGCAACCTGTGCCACTTTGGAGCAGAGCCGCTTCTTTGGTGTGTTCTCCTCCACGACCACCCTGCCCTCCGCTCCATGTTCCTGGACCCTGCAGAACCCTGATCCACGTCGCTACAATGTCTATATGAAAATTACCAAACCCACCGAATCCTGTGTGCCCCGCCAGATCAGAACCTTCCAGTTTGACTCCTTCATCGAGACCTCTCGCACCTACCTGGGTATGGAGAGCTTCGACGAGGTAGTTCGGTTGTGCGACGCTTCCACTACAGTCACCTACCTGGAGTCAAGCAAGCAGTTCCTGCAGATCCGCAAGATGGCCCCAAGGAATGCCGTAGCAGTCGTTGGAGAAGAGCATGGTGTTAGCGAGTTTAAAGCTGAGTTTCTTGTCGTGGGGAAGAGGAACCCAAGCATGCCTGCCTGCCAGATGTTGTGCCAGTGGTTGGAGAAATGCCTGAACAGCAGTACCCACGATTATCCCTGTGGCATCATGAACACCCCCTGCCAATGCTGGGAGGCCCCAAAAAGGAAGCCAGGAAGTTGCTACAGGGGCGGTGTCTATGTTGAAAAATGCACCACTGTTCCCAAAGACAACGTACAGGATGCTGAGATTACAAGTAAGTGTGGTTTGTCTTATAAACGTAAAAAGAATAAAGAAAAAAAAAAACAAAAAAAAAACAATATGTCGCACAAACAAACTGATTTACCAAAGCAAAGGGCAAGTTCTTCAAAACTAAACAACTCCATAGGCTGTGATTACCCATCAATTGAGGAGTGCCTAAAGAGCTGCTGGGGTAATGATCCATGTCTGCTAAGTCAGAGTTCCTGCTCTGAAACCCTATAAAATAATGAGAATTAAATTAAAGCTGTTAGGTTTTTTGCCATTGCTTCTTTAGAGTTAAGTAACATCACCTCCTGCACCTCACACATTGCTCAGTTTTGCACCGAGACATGCACAGAGAGCCTGTTTGTCTGTCCGCCTGGAGAGGAACACAAAGACCTCACAGTCGGCTGGCAGCAGAAATCGAAGAGCTGCACTTGCTGTAACCATAGCAACATGCACTCTCACACCATCCCGACCAGGTTCCCGCCAAGTGGATAAAAGCAATCAGTTGCATTTTTAAATTAAATGTCTATCCAATAGAGTGCACAGTTCTGCACACAAAGAAAAGTCCTTGCTCATTTTCCACACATAAAGAAAATATTACTCACTTCCTGCTCTTAAACATAAAGTAAGAAAACTGAATGGTACTTTTACACAAAGGTAGTAACACGGTTTCATTGGCTGTATTTTTTCGCTCAACAATTCCCAACTCTTCTAAACATTTCTTTCCCTTTTTTCTATTCCTCCCTACAGCGAGCTGGGCAGGTTGGGGCCACTGGTCCGTCTGCAGCCAGGAGTGTGGCGGCGGAGTCCAGGTGCGCAGCCGAACCTGCCAGCCACAAGATGGAGTTTGTGAGGGAACAGTGGAGGAAGGCCGTGCCTGCAACATTAATTCGTGCATTAGTAAGCTATAATCTTGTCATTAAATCAGAAACACTGATGCAGGTGTTTGGGCTGTAAATCTATAATTCTTCTTTTTGTTTTTTTTTCCTCTCATAGGCAAAGAGAGGAACAGGAGCCAAGGACTTCGTGCCATTATTGGACTGAAAAGAGACAACATTGATGAGTCCCACCCAGGAGTTGTTGCAACTCAGACTGGTGAGTTGACAAAAAGGTCCTCCCACAAATAGATGACTAAAGTAGAGCAACACAACCCTCTAACCTTAGGTGTTAATCTCATAACAGATGCAAAGACAGATGAGTGGACCTCATGGAGTGCATGTTCAGTCACTTGCGGAGAGGGCTGGCAGAGCCGCTCCCGCCTCTGTGCCACTTCTTCCTTCACCACCCAGTGCACCGGATCCCTGCGTGAGAACCGACCATGCAACAGCACAGTTGCCTGTCCTGGTGAGTGTATGAATCCTAACATGAGCATGAGAGAAAGCTACCTTGACAAGGAAGAACATTTAAGCCTTAACTAACAAGTTCCCCAGTAAGCATTATAAAAAAGAGGAGCTCTCAGAAAGTTGTCAAGAGTCTCTTAGAGTCTAAACTATTTTCTGCATTTTCTTCACTTGTTTGCAGTGGATGGTACTTGGTATGAGTGGACCCCCTGGAGCCTGTGCTCCTCCACATGTGGCCGCGGTTACCGTGACCGTACTCGCACCTGCAAACAGCCCAAGAATGGAGGACAGACTTGCCGTGGCCCCACAAGACAAACCAAGTTCTGCAACATTGCTGTCTGCCCAGGTGAATAGCATATCTTTTACTATGACTTCGGGGGGGAAAAAAGTCTAAATATTTCCTTTAGAGCCCAGATCGTTTTGTTAAAATTCCAGGGTAACAAGCTCAGGATGTGATGATTAACCCTTCATCTGACTTATTCAGTTATGAGAGCCTAATTAAGTCACCTAATTGTAGCAGCATCACCAAAACTGCAGTGGCAGGTTGCAATTTCATCTGAGTCACCAGAATAAAAGCGTCTGTGGATGTTAGTCAGTGGCCTCATAACAGCTGCCTGTGACTCACTCCTCCATCATGGTCATTCGGCCCTTAGAAGTCACTATTCTATCGCAGCGCCTACTCATGTGCACAAAAGTTTTATCACTGAAGTTACTGCAGCACTGTTTTCTTTTAGACAAACATGCAAAATAGATTTTCATTGTAATTACACCTTATTACCAACAGGAGTCTCTGTTTAAGAAAACTGAGTCATTACTTCAAGATAATTTAGTTTTTTGTTTTTTTTACCTCACAGGAAATTTGGTTTAAGATTAGTGCCATTTGATTAGTGGATGTAATAGGAATGTTATTTACAAATTGATTTTTGCAGTAGAAACACATTTCATTTGCAATTATTATTTCTATGTGAGCCCTCTTTCAAGGCTTAAATTGCCAGTCTGCCAGTCTAAGTTTTCCAATTTCATCATTCAATTAGTATTCTTTTTATTATATGTCCCTGAATTGTATTACAAGCACAAAATCATAATTGCATCCATAAACTGGCTAGAATTATTAAGCTTTAAAATTGCAGGTCAGAGTTTGAACTTGACAGTTGAAATGCTGTTAACTTTGATCTGTCTTTCTGTTGAGATTAAGCTCAGAGTAATTAGGTCATGTTAGCTGTTAATATTGCCAGTGAGTTTGTCATGATGTCTGTTGAGCCCAGAGGGTCTGTCTTGTCCCTGCTATGCGCATAACTCTGTACACACTCCTCTGCTTCCCTCTAGTGGACGGATCCTGGAATGATTGGTCCGCCTGGACTACCTGCTCTGCCTCTTGCTCCAATGGCACAATGCAGAGAACCAGGGAGTGCAACGGACCATCTTATGGTGGCTCAGAATGCCATGGTGGCTGGAAAGAGACAGCAAACTGCTTCCTGAAAGAATGCCCTGGTTTGTTATTAAAATAAATCCTAGATCCAAGTTTTGCTTTTTATTTATCAGGGAAGAAAAAATGATACTTAAATGTGTAATATCTTAATGTCTGCAGTTAATGGAACCTGGCATCCATGGAGCTTATGGGGAAGCTGCAGCAAGACCTGTGGTGGAGGCATCCAGCAGAGACAAAGGGTCTGTGAGGGGCCTTTCTTCGGAGGAGAACCTTGCCCCGGTGAAACCAGAGAGCAGAAGCGCTGCAATGAGAAGAGATGCCCTGGTTAGTGTCTCCAGCTCAATCAATAAATAAAATCTTTTTTTTTCAATCCAAAAGCAAACAGAAAAGTTATCATGCAAACACCTTTGTTTTAATGTTTTAGAGCCCCATGAGATCTGTCCTGAGCAGAACACCGGAGACATTGTTTGGAAGAAAACCCCTGCTGGAGATGTTGCTGCTGTTTCCTGCCCTGTTGATGCCTCTGGTACTTTAAAAATCTGGTTGCATACTTTTCATATTTATTCCCTAGCTACATTAAAACTAAACCAAGGATTTTTCATTTTATTAACAGGTCTGATTCTGCGTCGCTGCACCCTCGACGCTGTGGGTCTTGCTTCTTGGGAGAACCCCACCTACATCCAATGTGTTTCCAAAAACTATGAAAATATTCAGATGCTGGTAGGCCTCCTCACGATTAAAGTGCTAAAGATTCATTGATTGGTGTGTAAAAAAAAAAGATATAAATCCTTATTACTCTCCACAGTCAAGGGACTACATCTCCAAAGCACAGATAGGACAAAGTGTCGATGGTGTCGCTGAGGTGATTTCCCGCTTGAGATTCTCGTCTGATGAAAAAGCCAAGTACAGCGGTGACCTTTTGGCTATCATGGAAATCCTGAAGAACACCACAGAGGTGTACAAAGGAACAAGGCTGAGGCTGAGCAATGCTGATGTTGAGGTACGAGATCCTTAAACTTAAAGTTAATAAAAAGAAAATAAATAATTTCTAATCAAGATGGACTTGTTGCCTTCTCACACCTCTACTTTTGTATTTGCAGAACTACGTCCAGACCATCAGCAACCTTTTGAAGGAGGAACATCGTGACAAATGGGAAGAGGCACAACTGGTGAGTGATAAGAAGGTGTGACTGTGTGTGGATTTATAAGAGCAAAGGGGGAAAAAAGATAAGTCTATTTTGCTAAGGTTACCTAAATGGGATGAGTGTGTGAAGAAGGGAACCAAGAAAATACTAGCAAGAGAGTACATGAAAATAAGGGAACATAGACTACATCTCTAATAAAATAATAATGTATTCACCCAAACCATTAAGTTTAAACAGAAGTTGCCAAAAAAAAAGCTCTAAATGAAATGTGCAGACATTTAGTCATCATATTTGTTAAACTCATATTAGCTCGAACAGAACTTTGTCACGTTTGACCAACTGTTGTCAAACCTCCTCCGCAGTTCCATGACGCTTGTAATGTTCCTGCAAGTTTCCCAAGAAAGACCCACCTCCCCCCAAAAAAGAAGTTGTAATAGACACACACTTTCATGGACAAACTGATCTGAGACCAGGAGGTCCAGTTACCGCGGCTACTGTCTCTCTCTCTGAATCAGGGAAAATCACTACTCCCACTCTGCAATCTGCGCATCTCCATGCCATCCCACATACTGACAGCTACTGCTGTATAGAAACAGAGACAGAACACGACATGCAAAAGCACACACCTCGCGCCCACGTCGCTGTTCTTCTGCGTCAGAGACACGCAAGTCAGGTGGCCCTCCCTTTTCACTGAGAGAAAAAGAGACAGGACAGAAAAAAAATACAGAGTATGAATCAACAGCCTCCCCATTTATGGCCATGCGGAAGTTCTGTGGTTGCATAGCAGCAAGAATTGTGCGTTTTTTCCTCTCTTTTCAGTCAGCTGCTGAGCGCTCTGAGAAAATATGTACTGGCTGGAACCTGTGCATCCATAAATAATCACTAAAGTGTGGCCATGCTTAACTAAGAAAATAAAAAAGATTCATATTCTGCTATTTCTGAATGTTCTTTTTTTTCCCATCTTCTCTCACTTGTAGATGGGTGCCAACATCAAGGGGTTCCTTCGCCTTGTCGAGGACTTTGTGAACATGATCGGCACACAAATGAGCGGCTTTCAGGACATTTATGAGGTCACAGAGAATTTAGGTGAGCCTCGTTTCGCAGTTTGAATAATTTGTCCTTCGTTATAAGGGAAAATCCTCACTCCAGATGCTTTTTATCAATTTGATAGACAATCAAGTCCTTCAGCTGCAATCTGCAAAATGTTAAATTTGGAAATAGGAGCAGATTTGACAAAAATTTACGAATCTGAGAGATTCTGTAAAACTAATTACAAATGCACAGAGCAGAGAAGATTACATTCTTTCGATTTAAGAACTTAAAATATTATGAGGGTACCTACTCATAATTAACCCTTTGAATTAAATTATTTTCTCCCTTTAGTGCTGAGTATCCACAAACGGCCAACATCCACAAGCTCTAACTTCACCTTCCCAGTAAAGGGCTGGAGAGGGATGCTGGATTGGGTTAGGAACTCTGAGGAGAAGATCTCTGTGGCCCGTGATGCTTTGTCACTCAAATCAACTGGTAAGAACATATAAATGAAATAAATTAGTGTTAAAAAAACTGCATGTTAGGTTCATATTTTAGACTGAATGGAATTTTGCTTCATTTTCAGACGGCAATGATGCCTTTGTGACTGGCATTGTCCTCTACAGAAACCTTGCTTCAATTATGTCCTTCCAGAGGTAACTTTACTGTTTTATAACTTATATTAACACTCCATCTCACTACATTTTTATTTCCCTGTCTTACACATCTGAGATCAAGCTTTGACAGTGAAATATGCTCTTCCCTTACAGTAACACCACCCTGCTCAACTCCAAGGTGGTAACTGTGATTGTTAAACCCGACCCGACTCTCCTGTCCACCCCTGTCGAGATCGAGTTCCCCCACCTGTACAATGTGAGTCCCTAATGATCAGCCTAATGGAAAAACATCAGCCTCCCTGTGGGTGTTTGTGCAGCAAAGTGCACAGAGAGACTGACATTTTCCTGACATTTGATGCAACACTTAGACTTTAGCATCAGCTTGTGGCAGCTGAAACCTGGAAAACATTTCAGAAGCAACCAAATGGTCACTTGATGATGAGAAATCATGCGCAATAATTAGAGTCTGCAGCTGATAGGCGGCTGTTTTTAGTTTAGTTAATGCATCAAAAGGATTGGGAGAGGGGAAAAAAAGAACATGTGAGCATGTTGCTGCCAGCAAGCTGTTGCATTTCACACATTTGTAGCAAGGTGTCCCCAGCCTACATGGTTCCCTCTTTACAGAGAGATTCCTCACACTAACCTTCTCCATCTGCCTCTTCTTGCAGGACACTGTGAATGAAACATGTCTGTCATGGGATGAGAGCGAAAGGTAAGTGTTAGCTGATGTTTTTGAACATGCATCCAATCATCTCTCTCATCTGTTTTCCTAAGTAAAAAAGATGGTTTTCTTTTTCGTTTTTGAGTTACAATTGCCCTGCTTGACTGGTTCCTTTCAGGCAAGAATCTGCCACCATTTGAAACCTATTTGAAAGACAGAAATTGTCATTCCACCTCTTACTCATGTTAGTCACTATTGACTAAGAGTACCAAGAAAAACAGCAACACATGCAAGCTGACCCTTAGACTTAATCGACTGTCTGGCACAGTTACAGGTAGTCAGACAATAAGAAATCAAAATAAAGGTTTTCAGAGCAGCTGGTTTGCAGCCAATTTCAATCTTTAAAGTTTTCTGAACTTAAAATCTAATTTCACTTTTCAGTTATAGACCCTTACAGTGTGGAAAGATTTTCAGCAGGAACAATGAGAAATTAAAATTCACAACTACCACACACCCAGAGCTGAGGTATGCAAGATTAGGAAAGAAAATGTAATTACCTCATAAACCTTTAGAGGGGGGCATATGCCTCTAGTCAAATTAGATTCAGTTTAAACAGCAAATGTGATTAATGCACCAACACAGGCAGGGTAGAGCCCTGGCTAACAACAGCTTTACTACAGCTCTACAGATTTTAATGATAATAAAGCAGGTACGCAGAATGCAGCTTTGCTCAGATGCCACTGTAGAAAAGCTTCTCAATGTTTCAACCATAGCCTGAACCTTCTGGCTATATGATACCAATCAAAAGCTGGGGGTTCTTCTTGTATTTGGACCTGCAACAAACAAATACATTCAGTGTTGCATAGTATAATCCCTCAAATAAAAATGCCAACAATGTATGCTGCATGTTATCCTCTTATAATGGGACACTTTGTTCCTGGTTCAACAAGAAGTGAATACTGTAGTTGATTATAATGAGAAAACATTGGATAATAGTCATGAATTGTGCCTCTATTAATCATTATGCAAATTTCAATTAATCACATGCACATGTATCCTAAAATGCATTTTTGTATCTCAAGTGACAAGAACACATCTTTTCTTTCTATTAGAAGTCAAATGTTGGCGGCATTTTAATTAAATGTTAATGGGCCACAAAAAAATCAGCTTGTTAAAATTTTGTTTATTCTTATCAATCCTTTTTTTTTCTATATTTCCCCATTTCATATTGATTTAAAAATACATTCTAAATAAAAAACGTTGAGATCAGAGATTTGTCAGATCTCTCCTAACTCCCCCTCTCCTCTCTCTTGTGCAGCTCCTCTCTCCTTGGCTCTTGGTCTGCTCGGAGCTGCAGAGCGGTGCCCGTTCATTCACACAGAACCAAATGCGTGTGTGACAGCCTCTCCACCTTCGCCATTTTAGCGCGCGTCAACTTCGACTCGGTAAGTCTCCTCTCTGTTCCCTAGAACAGCTTATTTTTTCTCCCTATTTCCCCTCTCCATCACACGATGTGCATGCTAAATGTCTCCCGCAGTGTGAATGTGGTGCAGAATGAATAGGGACTTGTTGTTTGCCAGTGAGGGGCTTTGCAGCAGCGCTCCTTTGTCTCCGTACAGGTGCCGCGGCTCAGACAACCTGCGCGTTTCTCCACTGAAAAAAGGGATAATTGAGCAACATGTTGCGGTTTTATTTTCTACTAGAAAAAAAAAACATTTATTTTTTATAGAAAAATATTTAAATTGCGATTACAGTAATCAGTCTGTAATCAGCACAGAAGCCAAAAGTCATCATATAAAAAGAAAACAAATATCCATTGCATGCGTACTTAAAGAGTAACCATTATGCATGGCTTTATTCCATGCGCAAAATCAATCTAGATTGTGCAGCTTCTATACAATTGTTATATTGGACGTTGAAACCTGTCAAGAAATGAGAAATTGTTATTGGAAAATCTAATTAATATACATATTTTTAATCCCACCGCTTTGTTTTTTGCATGGTTTGCAGATAACATGCAATCTAATACTGCATTTGTTGCATTATTTGTGTTCTTTTACTCTCCAACTTGTTTACATCTCAGATTTGACTTGAGTTGCTGCTAAACAGCACCCCCCCTCCTCTCAACATCCCCACCAGCGTAGAAATACAAATAATTAAAAGAAAGGCAGCACAGCCAATCAATCCCTAAGCCAATATCTATGAATTTTCAATCACATGCACCCCCACCCTCCTCCTGCTTAGACTTCTCCTTCTCCGTTGGTCTCAGCAGCAAGATTTAAAATGCCAGAGATGCAGACCAATGAGAGACAGACGTCTGGTCATGCATGGATGGCAATGCACTCCCCCCCCACCTCCCAGCATAACCTCCACCACATCATGCCTTTTCATCTTTTCTTCCTTTGATGTGAGCTGTGGACATATTTAATAACAGCTTCTTCCACGAAGAACACCAGAGAGATTTGAGGGGTAGAAAAGGGAAAAATGAGGGCGTGAGCTTTGAAAGAAAACAGCCAGATGTTGCAGGGTGTTAGTTAGCTCTTATTTCATTTTCTTGAAACGAAAATATCCACACAAAAGCACTCAATATATTACTTATTGCTGCAGATGCTCTTGACCGCTCCTGATATAAAGTTTTAAAGAGTGGTGGTCTTTTAGCACCTTTCTCAAAATGAGAGCACACGATCCAGTCAAGGACATGCTTCATATGTAGGTCCAACTGGCTGTCTGGAGCTCACTTAGCTGAGGGAGCAAGATTCGACCCAGATAGAGAGAGGAAAGGAAATAGGACACAGTGTCTTAACTGTATTACACCCCAGATTCCCTGCCAGTATAGGGAAAATCATCCAGTTTTAAATTCTTCCCAACTGGTACTAATGTTACCAAAGCTAAAGTTTATTTAATTTATGTCTTCTTTGTTGAAGGATATTCAGTTTCTTACCTCTTAAAAACATGTCAGAGGTTTCCCCTCTTTTTGCTCTCTTAGAACATTAATAGTACTATAATGACAACACTACAACAAGGAGGGAGCCTTAATAATTCTCATCCTGCTCACTCTTTGAGGTGATGACAACTGGATTAGAGGTGTGAGAGTAGCTGGAAGCCTCATCAAAAGCCTGGAGAGTAAGTGTGAGATAGATGAGCGGGGGGGACCAGCAATTATCAGCCAGGGGGGCTTTGTGAAGCTGAGATTTGTGCATCCAGGAGTGACCCGCTGACATGTGCCGCAAGTTAGACAGGCGGTAAAACAACCCCTACCTCTGTCTTATCTAACATAAGCTTGGCGCCAGCAGCCATGTTGCAGCACACAATGGTCAGCGCTGTTGGCAGCAACAATGGGTGCTAAGTTGCTTTTAGAGATCAGAAGGGGCTGGCGGTAGCACATTAACGTACATGTGATAATGGTCCACCTGTTCTCCTGCAGCCTCCCAGGTGTAAAAGAGAATCTGCAAATTGGCATCACAATATTGAGAACATGCCGAACAGGAACCACACAACAGCAACGTATTTGAACTTGCTCCCCCACTAAAGGCAAAGCGAACCATTTGTTAGTTCAGCCCTCCTTCTTTTACACACATTCACCTTGGGGTCACCTTGCCTGAGCCGCGGCCTGATTTTGCCATTCATCTGTTTGCCTTGAGGGAGCCGTCTGCTCTTCCAGATAGTGCTCAACCAGAGGCTTTCTCTTCTGTCCAGTGTGTGTGTGAGCAAAACTGGTTTGCCTGGTGCATGACTGCTTATGTGTGTTAGTAATCACTGCTAACAGGTATGTTTTTGCTCTTGTCTTCCCCTCTACAGATCATGGACAAGGCAAACCTCCCGTCTGTTACCCTCATCGTCGGCTGTGGGGTCTCTTCCCTTACCCTGCTGCTCCTCATCATCATTTATGTCTCTGTTTGGAAGTAAGTACGCATACTAGCAAACCAGCTTAAAATTTTAGAGGATATGTTGTGATATATCATCCAACCCCTAAACTTGTTTTATATCTTTTACCTTCAGGTACATTCGCTCAGAGCGTTCCGTTATCCTCATCAACTTCTGCCTCTCCATTATATGCTCAAACGCCCTCATTCTTGTTGGACAAACCCAGGCTCGCAACAAGGTAAGCTGTGCCCCAAATCGGATCCACGCCATCTTCATTATCTCTCAGACTCAGATTTCTCACTGTACCTCTCTCTCTCTGATTCACACTTGTCCCCACAGGTCGTATGCACTCTTGTAGCTGCCCTGCTCCACTTCTTTTTCCTCTCCTCTTTCTGCTGGGTCTTGACAGAAGCTTGGCAGTCCTACATGGCTGTCACTGGTCGTCTGCGCAACCGCATCATCCGCAAGCGCTTCCTGTGCTTGGGCTGGGGTACGAGGACATGTCTTTTTATGCATTGCATTTCTTGTCACTCCCGTAGAAGTTTTCCTTTATTCTTTATCCTGCTCTAATTGAAATGCATATTTTGTTTATTTGCAGGACTTCCTGCTCTGGTGGTAGCTGTGTCTGTGGGCTTCACTAAAGCTAAGGGATATGGCACTGTCAACTAGTAAGCTCATAGTCTATTCTTACTTCTTATTTTTATTCTTCCTTCTATTTGACAGAAACAATGATTAATAACGTTTTTCTTTCCCTTTTTTAGCTGCTGGCTGTCCCTTGAAGGTGGACTCCTTTACTCTTTCGTTGGACCCGCTGCTGCTGTTGTTTTGGTACGTGTTCTAAACTTTGATCCCCAAGTTCTAGAGATTTCACATGCTGTATCTTAAATCCTTTACCTATCAATGCATATACTTACTGATACATGCTTTTTTCCCTAACAGGTGAATATGGTCATCGGTATTCTAGTCTTCAACAAGCTCGTATCCAAGGATGGGATCACTGATGTGAAACTGAAGGAGAGAGCTGGGTAGGTCTCATCATGCTAATCATACAACAATTTTCATTAATCTACTGAAGCATGCAAATAAGTATGAGAGTCCAAAGCACTAATCCAATCATTTGTTCTCTTCTCTTCCCTCTGCAGGGCATCACTGTGGAGCTCCTGTGTGGTTCTCCCTCTCCTTGCCCTCACCTGGATGTCAGCCGTCTTGGCCATCACTGACCGGCGCTCCGCTCTTTTCCAGATCCTCTTTGCTGTTTTCGACTCTCTGGAGGGTTTCATCATTGTCATGGTGCACTGCATCCTGCGTAGAGAGGTAAGAAGGCAATAATACAAAACAACTTAAAAGGAATGAAGATAAAAAATGAAAGTCTGTATTTTTGCTTTTTTTATCAGGTATCATGAATGTTTTTAACAATTTCTTGAATATTCGGTGTCTCCATTAGGTTCAGGAGGCTGTAAAGTGCAGAGTAGTTGATCGCAAAGATGATGGGAATGGAGACTCTGGAAGTTCTCATCACAATGGCCACCCTCAGCACATGGTGAATAATTTGGCCGATTGCCTTTTTAATATCTTGAGTGCTTTTGAAATGTATTCCTAAATGAATATCTGCATGCATAAAGCACTAATAGTGTTTTTTTCCTTTTATCAGCAGTCTGATAATGAAAAAGATGGAGACTCAAACAGACAAGGTAAGGCCAGCACTTAAAACACCCTTGCTTGAATCTAAAGTTCGAAAATATATTGATTTAATTTTCATTTAAGGCATTGTTTCCTATCAATAAATCTTCTATTCTTTTTTTCCTTAAAGGAATGAAGAGCTCTTCTGAAGAAAAGATGCCCCCTCCTCAGATGCCACTCCCAATGGGCTCCAACTTCCACACCCTACCATCCAAGGGCAGCCACATGCAGGCTGTTCCCGAGTACGCCAGTCACACTCTCACCCTGAAGAGAGAGAAAAGCCGCCTGGCCGGAGGAGTGGACCCCTCCTGCGGTAACCCCGTCTATGTCTGCGAGGGGGAGCTCTTTAAGCAACTGGATGCGGACCTTGTTCTTGCTCAGGCCGAGGGTAGCATCTCTGATGTCAGCGGATATGTCCTCATGCCCAACACCACATCCACTCTGAGGGCCAAACCCAAAGACGACCCCACAAAGTATAACATCAGCGTAGACCAGCTGCCACAGGCCAGGCTTATGCACCTTGGTGGACCCTTTGCAGAGCCCCAGGCTGCCTTCGGGATCGGCTCAATCCCAGCTGACCAGGTCAGCGTGTCATACTCAGAGAGGGACTCGCCAATCCAGAACATCCACAACATGTCCAGCGAGTCACACATCACCCACAGCAGCTTGGAGAACACCTTTGAGTCCATGAACTCAATGATGTCAAAGAGCGAGACCATCTCCACTCTGTCAATGAGCTCCTTGGAGGTAGGAGGAAATGAGGTTACCGCTTTATTCATTTTCTAAAAATGTTTAACATGTTTCGAAGTCTAAACTCCAATCTTTCTCTACTGTTACTTTGTAGCGACAGAAATCCCGTTATGCAGAGCTGGACTTTGAGGTAAATATATTTATTTTTTTAATTGTCAATAAAAGTACTAATTATAAGTTTAAAAACCTTTTCCCAAAATGTGCAGACATACATGTTGTATACACTGCTAATATTGTAAACGTTTTTTCTGCCTCTCTAGAAAATCATGCACACCAAGAAGCGCCATCAGAACATGTTCCAGGACCTGAACAGGAAAATGCATCACACTGAGAAAGACAGGGAGTCTCCTGCATCTGATAGCAAGGTAAGACTTCGTCCTATTATGCTCATCATCTACTTCCACAGTCATTTTCAAGAAATAATGGACACATAGTTAAAACAAGAGGCAATAATACCTAAAAACAAAGATAATTGAAAGAAAAATGACCTTTAAATTGAGGTGCAACATGGTGTCTTGAACTAATGTTGTTGTTACCTGGAGGTCATTTGAATAAGGATGTATTTTCTTCCTTCTTACAGTCTGTGAGATGGAGTGTGTCTTCTGGAGGAAGTGACAAAACAAACCACAGCGTGAGTGTTTATATACAACCTCACACTCTCTAAATGTCTTCCCCGTACATGAGACACAACTTCCTATAGTTCAAAGCCTCAAAGAAGGAGTTATTTCTCTGACTTTCCATCATTAGAAGCTCATTTCACTTTTTCAAATGATATAACTGAATTGCTATTCTATAGTGAAGTGACACCAGTTCTAAACGCTCCTCCTTTTCTGCCTTAACAGGACAAACAGCAGGCTCAGATGGACAGGTCGTGGGAAGCGGTCCGGGGGATACCTCAGTCGCCCCCTGCATGGGTACGCAAAGACATGGAGCCTCTCGCCGCCTCACCTCTGGAGATTCACTCTGTAGAGTGGGAGAAGACAAGCACCACCATCCCTCTGGTGGGGCAGGACATTATTGACCTGCAAACAGAGGTCTGAGATGGAGTAGGGGGGCCTAGCGAAGCCGCCTTGTTTCACCTCAGTCACCTTTTTTGGTTTTGGGATGGAATCCTTTCATGGATGAAGGTAGAGCAACCAAAAAAAGGGAAGAAGTAGCTTGCAGAATCATTGTCTTCAAACCCTCAGCCAGAGCTGGAAGGAAGAAGGGATGGAGTGTTGGGGTGGCGGAAACGGGAATGTTTAATGTAGCTTCTCAGTGTGGACTCTCACCAGAGCTCAAAGAAGGGGTAAGCGGAGCGATCAGTGGCGTCCACGGACTGGGACTGTCTGTGGCTCCATAGACGCTTCCCTCCGGAGTTTTCCTGGACCCCCACTATCCGGGGTTTTAGAAGATATGCTTGACATGTCTGTGCTTCTCTTTTTTTTCCTTCAAATCAACTTTGGAGTGAAAAATCAATTAACATTGAAATAAAAAAAAAACGGTGCGTGTCCTCCCTGCTTCTCGGGAGACACAGCCAGAACTCTCTTCCAAAATGAGACAAAGGCAAAAGAAGAAAAAAAAGGGATTTCATACTCCAATATGTTGGACTTTGGTAAATGGGCACACAATTTATTTTGTTTTGGTGCAGTGTTTCTTTTTTCCTCATTATGAGCTTGTTAGCACCAGAATCCAACAATATCAAGCAGAAAATGAGACTCTTTGCTGAGACTGAAACATTTCTGTGAAACTAGAAGGCAAGTTTAATCATCTTGTTAGTGCTTCTTGCAGTGTTTGTCATTACTATTTTGCATTATTTCCAGTGTGATTTCCCTCTTTTACTTTATTCCCCCTTTAAGTCATTACTATTGATTAATAGTATCTAAAGTAGAAAAGAAACCAGAATTGAATGCATCCATAATGTGTTGTGAGCCCAGACGGACTGCATTGGGACAAACATATTGAGTGGTGATGGAAGCCCTGGTTGGTTGAATTTCCTGGTTTCTAAAGTATTCTGCTTCGGAACCAAAACACCAGCACCAGGACGAACACAGACTCTCACGTGGAAAGAGCAGTGCACTCTTGGGAATTGCTGGATGGATAACTGGCACAAAGATGCAGGCTCTTCCATGTCGTACATGCGGAACTTGAAGGCCCTTTCATCATCGCCCGCTTTTGTTTCTCAGCCTTGCAGGACTCTTGGACTGAGCAGAGACTTTAACACATTTTGTGTTTTCAGCCATCAGTGTGTAACAGTGCAATATGATGGGCGCTTGATGCTCAAGCAATGACTGATATTATGATCTAGGCAGAGTTTTTTCCTACCGATATTTCAAAATTTTTATACCATCTTCCATATATATTTACAGAGCAAATAGATGCTTTATGAAAATATTGTATTAGGAATTTATTCACTAGAGATTTGTTTGCACAATACTCCATATTTGGAGTTCTCTGTGTGAAAGTTAATCATTGCTCTATATTTTAAAAAATGATAATATAGATTGAATGAGCCTCTGATTATCTCCTAACTGTTCTTCAGGATAATTGTTATTGCTCTCAGCTGTAAAGCAGTGGGTAATATAACCTCATGTCTTCTGTAACAGTGTGTTACTATAACTCGACTGTATGTTCTACCAGCCAATCCCTAATGTCTGTTTCTTTTTTTACAGTTTTTCTTGTCCTGCCTAAAACCCAACTTTAGTTATGTTGAGTATTTTTTTGTCAAGATTTCTGTTTTAACCAGTGTAAATGTACAGTTTTCACAGCACAAAAATGAATGTGAATTATTTCTAATAAAAAAAATCTATAACAAATAATCTGAATCTTTTGCTCTCTTTTATTATTGATTCATCACATCTGATTAAGGCCTTAATCCAGAGTTCAAATGCCAATTTAGACTGACTTAAAAGTAGTTTATGTAATTTAAAATCAGAAGTTACACATATGTATTTTGGACAGATAGGATGACACATTTAAGCTATTTAAGTGTTTAAATACTTACGATGAAAGCAGCTACTGACTACTTTTTTTAGCTAACCTTTTAAAATAGAAATGTTATTAAAGGATTACAAAATTAATTGAGATCAACAGTGATTTATCTCTTTAGGATACAGCTATTGACAACCTCCATGAGAAGAGTAAGGCCTTTGTTAAATTCTGGTACAGCGCTGTATCCAGTATCATATCAAATATCATCCATATCAAAGTTTAGTTGAGTGTAATGAAAAAAGGTAGCACAAAAGGGCGCAATAACCATTTTGAAGGATGGTAAATGTATTCAGATCCACTTGTGTTTAATTTTTACAGCCAGCAAAAACCATCGAAATGCGCCTTTTGAATAATTGTGACGTTTTTATTTCATAGAATTTAAAGCTATTCTTAAGAAGACAAAGAAAAAAAGTATAACACATAATTTGTTTAAAAAATAAGATATGAAGAACAAAAGCATACAATTCAGTCAGTATGATTTTGTACTGTTATAGAGGATAATTTAATGTAAATCTTAAAATTTTAATTCATAGCATGAAAATACATAATTTCTTATTGTTGCTCTTCTTTGACAAGCATTAAAGAAAAGAGAAAATGATAGGCTGACATCAACTGCATGACTGATTGATGACTATTTGCGTGTTAATGTGAGAAATAGGAATATCCTTATGGAATGCATTCATTCCAATAGTCCAGTTCAAAACCGAAAATTAATTAATCATATGTTATTAGATAAGTTACAAGGAATTATATATTCCAAGCATTTATTTATTTTTTTATTGCTTAGATTATGGTCAAGTTTCTAAAAAAAAAAAAAAAAAAAAAAACATAAAAAAAATCACAATCATTTGACAATCCGATTTTTAACTCAGGATGTTATGAACATGTTAAGATTAATACAAAACATGAGGTGGACAGCTGACTTGATATTGTCCTGCAAACAGCTACTGATATGCAGTTTTAAGCCATAAAATTGTATTGCTAAGAATTCTGGGTCTCAACAGAGTTATCCATCCAAAGTAAAAGCATAGTTTAGTAAAGGTCATTGGAAGGAAAAAGTCCAATAGAAGGAGATGCCCAAGCAACAGCGATAAGAGTCTTAAGAGGATTGAGAAGCGCGAAATAAAATTTCCTATCATTCCCATTTCCCCGTTTGGGAAATGGTACATTCCTTCACTAAGGGTAGTTCTGATGTATTTTAACTTGGTACTAACCAAAGGTTAAAGGAGTTAGTCTTAAAGACTAACTCCTTTAACCTTTGGTTTTTTTAAACACGCACCCTACTAACTTCCGTTCAAAATATGAGTTTATTATCAAAAATCGTTCAGCTCCAAGTCAAACATATTTGAACTCTTGACAAAAAGCTAGTGAAACTCAACCATGTCTGTTCCGGAAAGTTTGAGTTTCCTCCTGCAGTCAGCAGCTAAGCATGGTAGGCTCACAGCAAAGGGAGGGTTCCTTTGCCCCACCTGGCTCGCACCAAAGGAAAGGCTCCCTTAGGAGGCTTTCCCCTTCAGTCCAGCTCTGCAATTTCTAAAAATCAGAAATAAATGTTGCAAACAGTCTGTTTTGCAGCAAGTTGGTCTGGAGATGTCAACTATCACAACTTACTGTAGGCTTTGTCCTTCTAGATATAATGATGTGGCCCTTCTTCCAATGTCAACCTTTCAAGCTTCACAGAAAGATAAAAAAAAATCCTGTGTGTTGTGGTGTTTTACTGTTCTCAAACTCCGGGGTTTCCTGTGGCATTAGCTTGGCTGAGAAAGGGTTGCAGAGCAGTGAAGAGCCTGTGGGGACAAACTGCACCCTCTGCGAGAGTTAATCATTGGTCCTCTATGCCCACAATTATTATCAAGGTTTATGGTCCAAGACAGCAAAAAGAAGACAACAGATAACCAAAGTAAACATTAAAAAGAGCTTCAAGAGCACCGTATCCTTTAGATATCTATGTTTATTGGAGTCAAAAGTTATGGTGATTATGCAATACTATTCAGGGTGCTATATATCTATAGCTGCACCTTGGTATTTAGTATTTGTGTATCCGCGAACACCTGGAACCAAACTCCCGTAGTGTATATATATTATATATATATATATATATATATATATATATATATATATATATATATATATATATATATATATATATATATATATATATATATATTTATGTACATGCTCGTGTATGAAGGATTTACAAAGCTTAAAAATAAGCAAAAGGATAACTGAACAGGACACAGATCATGAATCATCACAGACATAGAAGTTAAAAAAAAAATTCAAGAACAAAATCAGATCTGATAGAGGGAAACAATGCAACCAGGTGAGTGAAAAAGGAGAACAGATGAGGAGCAGCTAAGACCAAGGATTGGAAGAGATCTATGAAGCTGAGAGAATAATTAGAAGCAGACAAAGAGAAACATAGGGAAAAAACATGTTACAAATAATTGTAATATGTAAGACACAACGTACTCTTCCCAAAATGAACTCAAAATTAATATCCATAAACAAACTAATTACAATGACAGCAGCCAGATAAACAAAAACAGGAAAGAAACAGAGACATAAAAATAAACCAAAAAACTCAAACATCTAAGGAGCATGACTGGTGTACCAGCAGATAGTCCATGCATATGCAATATTCACATAGAGAAGACAAATACATAAAAAAAACACACACAAACTAGTGCCTAAAAACACAACTTCATCCGTGAGTACAACAAGGAAATGCAAAATGCAGCAGTAAGATGTTGAACTCCTGCAGCATTAAAGCCTCAGGCGAACATCTCGCTCTCTAAATATAGGCGTGATTTTCAGGAACATAAAACAGCAATCATTCAAGATGATAAAAGTGTAATTCCCTTCTGTTCTATTTCCATCCTTCGAAGGGCGGCACATCATTACCAAGAGAAAAATGACTTGTGATGTTGAGTGATGGGGGAAAAAAGAAGAATTAGCAGGAGCCAGAGTTGTTTCTAAAATTAGTGATAGGCAAATTTAGATTTTTTCTGCTTCATCTTCAATAATGCCTTTCCTACTCTCGCTCCTCTGTTTAATCACTTCTTGCCCTTTCTTTTAATTCATCCATAATATTGCTTCAAGGCATAAGTCAAAAAGTGATTTACATGATGCATTTGTGCAGCCCTGCTTTATTTCGCGAGGTCAACCAGAGAGCAGAGCAGCCGTATTACAAATGGTGCTTCACCAAATATACAGTAAAGTATGTGTCATTTTCACAGCTACCATATCATTGCATAAAATCCACCATTTTCCTCTGGCTTCATTTGCTTACATTTTTAGCTCCTTAGATTATTTTGTTCTAATTTATTTTCCCACCACAAGTCGTCCCTGTGAGTGTCTGCACAGAGTGCGAATGATGATGATAATTAGCAGAGACCTAATGCTGGAGAGAATTTTACAGCTTCTCTGCATTTTCGCTCCTCTTATTTCTATCTTTTCTTTTTTAATGCGGTGCTTACAGTCTAATGTTTGGTCATTTTTTAATTCAGTGTTCTTATCCTTGGAAATAATAAGAACATGCATGTGGTATATAAAACTTAAGAGCCCCACAAATACAAAGATCTTGCTTGTCAACCCGTTCCAAAAAAGGTTAAAAAACAAACCACAGGACTTTTTTTTCCAAATTTAAAGACATTTCCCTTCCCATCCAGAAAGCTTTCTCAATTCAAAATGTCTGGATTAGCATTAAGTTCCAGACTTTATAGAGTAGCCCAACAAAAGCCTTGTTATGGCTTATAGAACATGCAAATTGCACCGGGAAAAAAAGGTCCACCCTTTATTAATGGGTGAGGTCGTTGTTGGCCTGTAATACTCGATACTGGCCAATACCTCTGAAAAGGGAGTCCTTACGGTCATTGTTGGCCTGGCTGACCAGGCGAAATGTTTTGGTACCCTGCAAATTGATGGGATGATAGCTAAAGGAAACAACTCTATGGCTGTGTTGTCGGTTTTTGAGAGCTGGAACCTGAGACTACCCCTTGTGTTTAAGGTAAGATTTTTTCTCTTAACATAAACGACTCCCTTCACACCCCTTTTAAACCACCTTTTTTTTTTGTCCAAAATGTAAACATTCTGGTCCAGAGTCTTTTACGGAGGAGGTAGCCTGTCTGTGTTGAGCCATGCGTCTGTGGAGAGGTTGCTTGGTTTCTCCAATATAAAGATCAGAGCATTTCTCACTGCATTAAACGGCATACACCACGCCGCTCATCTTATGTCTGTGGGTTTTTTACTTTAGGACGCACTAGCCTTTGTCTAAAGGGCGGATTATACTTCTGCAACCGCACACATCAAATGTCGCTTGCGTCTGGTCGTGAACCAGTTTTGCTGGTATGTTTCTGCAATGTCGGTCTAGAATTTCTAGGGACACACTGCGGTTTCCCGCAAAAGCGCTAGGGGGAGCCTATTCGAGAACTTGCAAGAACTTTGGCGGATGGTTACAAGAACTTCTTCGGCGGCGCCGGCAGGATTGTTTATTTTCCAAAACAACATTTCTGAGGCATCGTACAAGTGGTCGTACTTCCGAAACTCCTTGATCAACCTTTCATCGTGGTTATCCATTGTTGTTATTACTCCTGGGTTTTTAAAAAGCACCGAATCGAGAAGGACAACCACACAGACAGCGGGAAAGGCATACCAAAGACCAATCACAGCTGCTCTTTGTTTGCACACTTCCGTTTGAGGCCTGCGCGGGTTTGCGACCGTCCGACGTGTAGACAGGATTTTTTTGAGGTGAGCGACGATGGTTGCAGAGTCTATGTGCGGGGGTTGTGTTCACGCACAGAGACAGATTTGACAATTGCAGAGGCTA